CGTGGGGTGGAAGTGGGGTTGAGTAACGTCACGAAGTCACAGTGTGTGACGTTCGCGTCAACTTTTGCCTGAAGACGGCGCGGGCGGATTCGTGGATGCAGAAGACGAGGAGGGTTACGCACATGATTATGATTGTGATAATTACTCAAGTCTCAACATCTAGATTCAACTTAGTAACCCAAATCAAGCTTAACAATATGGGACATCATATAGTATACAACCTCCACATATGTTCCCAATCCCTTACAACTTCTACGTGGAATGGCTACATTGGTAGGTAAGGATCAGCAATGCTTTGCAATACATACATAGTCATGAAGTTGGCCAGGGCAAACCGGGATTTCCACGATTGCTGATGAATGAGTTGTAACTTGAGAGCTGCCGACATTTCGGATTGAACTCACGTGGACAAGCCTTCTCCGTATGTCTCTCTCAGCTCTGTGGCTGTGTACTCAATGCTAGTAGTAAAGGAATAAAGTTTGAACTACAAACTTGGTGTGTATAACATTACATGAGTCCTCTCTAATATCTTGTAACGTGAAATGAAATAGAATGTGGTCCACATGTACATGTTCAAGTTTACGGCTCAGACGATGCTGGAACGGTGAAGGTATGTCTCGGTGTTGCTCCTGACATGTTGGTTTTGTCCGGTTGCGCGATAATTTTGTGGTTGTTCCAAAATTCAATGAATCGGTCGACGCCGGTGAAGTTGAATTTGGAGGATCTTCGGCCATAACCAATTAAACAGATTTCTAGCAGAATTGTCAGTACTAAGTAGTCGGAAAGATAATTTAAATAAACTGCTTACAGTTCTTGAGTTGGCATGAATGTGATGACAGAAAATCATGGAGTGCTGCAGTTGTCTTGTCAATAGAGATTGAGAAACTGTATAGAGATGGCAAATGACTGAGATATTTATTTGAATTTCAAGGGAAGATCCAGGTAATTATTGGAGTGGAAGGTGAGGGCTGTGGGTATTAATTAAGTAGAATGGTGATCATGGCTCACCTCTCTTCGGATTCTAGTCTATGCACAGGGCCTTTTTCTGCTTCACAAAAAAGACTAGCATCTATTCACATTGAGTTCATCAAGAGTTCATAGTTTCCTTTGTCACAGAAAACAAAATGCTAATGCATTATCTCATGGAGATTATTTCACAGCTGCCCCTCCACATGTACAACCCTATTATGTTAGTTACTTCCATCCTTTTCGTGCATCAGGAACCAGCTCCCTCAAGGGAGCACCTTGTTTGAACACGACGCCCAAGTCACATCTAGTCAGGTCACATCTTGTGACATGGCCTTCTTTCGTCAAGCCACGACGGCGTCCTTGTTGACTTCGCCGACAGCCACCACCATGACCACCAACGAACGTGACAACGCCGGCTACACAAGGGCCCAGCCACATGAGCACACAAGCGCCCAACAACACGAGCACACAAGCGCCCAACTACATGAGCACGCGAGTGGCTGAGCCACACGAGCGCCCAGCAGAACCGTAGGCGAAGGGCGATGAGCGCTCACGCGAACAGTGACGAGCGCCCACCCACCACTTCTTGAGCTACCACCACGACGACCCGACAACACGAGGGCCCAGCCACACGAGTGCCCAGTGACCGCCACCATCGACGAACGGTGACGAGAGCCCACCCACCACTTCATGAGTGGACAACACAACAATCGGAAGGACGACGACCGCCCACCCTCTGCATCGTGAGTAGTGTTCGAAAGTCCGGTTAGGTCCGGTTATTGGGTGCCCAGGGGCTCTAACCGAGACCGAGACCGGTTAGCCTTTGTCCCGAAACCTAAAATAACCTAACCGGACCGCAACTAACTGGTTACGGTCGGTTATTTGCAGTTACTAACCGGTTAGGACCGAAAAATAAAGAATCAGTTATAACAAGGCAAATATGCTCATGTATATCTTAATAGATATTATTTCTGCATATTCTAGCTTTAAAACGAGCCCAAGAACGCTAAAATCGGTGAAGAATTGACATATTTATGCAATTATCCCTTGAAAGTCTACACATTTGAGTGATATTTTAGAG